GCCACAAACTGAAAAGAAGAAATGAAAGCCAGCGTGTGGTGTCTGGCTTGGGGACAGGAGGCCAGTCCTTTGGCTGGGGTTCCCTGAAGGTCACTTCATGACAACAGGGGACACAGGACCAGTTGTCCACTGATGTCCTTGTGCAACAGGAAGAGATTGTGTCACAACGTTAATGAGGAAATAAGTGTGCCCCAACTTTACATGATTTCTCAGTCAAGGGGCTAAATTTAAAGAGGAAATCTCCAGTTCATGGGAAGTTCACACCTATGGGATACAGAATGAGAAGTTGAGAAAAGCAAGACCTTCCAGACCCGTGAACCTCTAGAAGAAATCAATGGGTTTCAGAAGCCCACAATTTTTTTAAATCCATGTGTCAAATTTAGTGTTTGTGTTACGAGCTTTTTTTTTCCAGGAAGAAGATACAGAGCTTTCATCAGAATTGCTAAGGGATCTGTGACTATAACATAGAAGATATTTTCTATAAAGTGATCAGTTGGGAACAGATAAAAAAAATCCTCTGTCATTAATTTCCTGATACAAGAAGTTGTTTCATTATATCCGTGAAATGTGCTGAAAAGGCATACGAATCGCAACAATCCTGTATGCAAGCCCCGGAGCTCAACGTCTGCACCCCTCCCGGGGCAACTGGAAGCAAAGAGCCCAGCTCCCCGCTCTGGGGGGGTGAGGCCACGAGTTACCCAGGGAGGGACTTTTCACGCAGGTCCCTGCTCCGATCAGGTGGGTGAATGATGACAGAGGGCACGAGCGGCGACCCCATATTGAAATAAACTGATGTACTGGATGGCACAACACGGGAACCGTGACTCCACAGAACATAAGCTCAGTGAGGGCAGGAGGCTTTGTGGGTGCTCTTAACCTCCACGCCCACGACAGCGCATTGAATGAACAGCTGGGTAAAGAGCTGTCCAGCCCTGGGGCTGGGGCTCAGTTGGGTGGAGCCTCGCCCTGTACACGGAAAGGCTGTGGGTTTCATTCCTGGTCAGGACACAACCCAGGTTGAGGGTTCAATCCCCAGTCTGGGCTTCTATGGGAGGCAACCGATGGATGTTTCTCTCTCACATGGATATTTCTCTCTCACATGGATGTTTTTCTCCCTCCCCCCTCCTCTTTCTTTCTCTGAAATCAATAAAAATAAATAAATGTAAAATAAAAAGAGAGTTTTCTAGAACCCTGTGAAGACTCTGGATCCATATAAATTAGGCTGATTTTAAAATGTATTTTACCACTAATAAGAAATTTATTTGATTTTAAAGTCAAACATTGACATTAAGTAGAAAATTTAATATTGTATCTGTAATTGTTTTCATGCTGAAAGTTTGAAAGCTATTCAATGAAGCATTTTTATTTTCTTAAATGCAAGGCTTCCTATTCACTCACGTTGTCTCTTCGACCCTCACAATTTTCCTGTAATATTGGCATCCGAGACTCCATTTTACAGTTAAACCAGCTGACACTGAGAGAGGCAGATCAGCTTGCCCAAGGACACACAGCTAGTAAGTTATGAAGCCATGATGAAAATAGATCAAGGCCACAACCTGGGAATGCGCCCTGGCCAGGAATCGAACCCACCACCTGCCACACGGGCAGGTCCAGAGCTCCTATTAGCCAACACACCCCCTTGTCACGGACTAATTAACCATTTCCCTAGCGGAGGACAGAGAGAGGACCGCGCGGGCTGGACTGAGCCCTGCCTGGGCAGGAGAGGGCAGGGCAGGTGTGAGCCGAGGAGCACCGCCGAGAATCCTGGGAAGCAAGAGTGACGAGAGTGACGCTTGGTGTCAAAATGAGAGAAAGTCAAAGAGAAGATCACCAGCTTTTCCAGTATCTTCTGTCACCCAGGTCATTCGAGCTTTCTGATTAAGGAGCTTGCTGTGAATGAGATGGTTGAGGCCAGTGCAGGTCAGAAACGACTTTGGAAGTATATTCAGACCAGACAAGCCAGGACCGGGGGGAAACATTTGGGAATTGTGGACCCTCAGCCTCTGCTGCAGACGGACAGACTGTGCTTTGCTGTCTGAGCAAAGTGAGTGCCAAAGTGTTTCAGGGAAGAACCTCATTCTCAAACGCAGACTGTGAGATCGGAACTGGAGCATCTAGCAGGCAGGGGCCCTCTAGGGACATCGTTCAGGGTCCAGCTAGTTGATATAAACCACAAGGAGGTAGGTCAGGGCCTTTCAGCAGGCTGTGCAGAGACCTGGGTCGTCTGCACTCAGAGCTCAGTGGAGAGGCAGACCCATCGGGGAAGATGGGACCAGCCAGGCTGAGGGACCTACCTGTGCCGGCGGGAGGAGCCCTCACCTCGGGGACCGGAAGCAGGTTCTGTCTTGTGAATGGGCACATGCACCGGCTTCGGCACAGTTGGCAAAATCACTCCCTGACCTCTGGGTTCCTCTTTAACCCTGCCCAGTACGAACCCACCCTTCGAGTTATCTTCATGATCACGTCCATTTATGGAAGACCTACTATGTGTCGGGCACTGACACACCCCTGCAGCTGAGAAATCTCACCCCTGGAAATGGCAAGGGACCTGCTCGGTGCTGCCCGGTTCAGCCAGGAGTGCCCAGTGTGTCCCTGAAGCCCGAGCACAGCAGTTGTCTCAGGCCACCATCTCCCTGGGTGACTCACCCGCCTGTGGCCTGGAGCCTGACATTGGCACACAGCCTTTGCGCGTGACATTCCTCCCACCCTGAGATTCTGCAGGCCTGCTCGGAGCTAAAAACTTACACCAGGAGGATTTCAGGAGGCCCAGCGCCTGTGCCCCATGCTCTTCTGGAGGCCGCCGAAGATTCCTCACCCACCCGGGTCAACCAATGAGACTGTGCTCCCGGGGTGCCCCGTCTGCTCCATGCCGCTTCCCCACGTCTTGGCCCCCAGCTACCACGGGTGTCTTAGAAGCCTCCGGAAGCCTGGCCCAGCCTCGGTGCAGATTTTACCCCACTCATCCCGGGGTCCTGGGATACCAGCCAGAGCCTCGCCCCACGCAGCACGGACTTCTCGCCGGGTGCACCGCGTTGTGGTTTAGATGCATCATCTGCGGCCGTCCTCCCAGCAGCCCTGTAGACAAATATTATCATCCCAGTAGAAGCAGACTGCAGCTTGGGACGGTCCCCTCGCTGCCTAACACATGACTCGGCAGTAAACAAGGGATGGCTTTTTGAACAGGGGTCTTTTTCTTTGCCATCATTCCTCTAGAGCTTCTCTGGGCCCTGGCCCCTGCGGTGGTCCTGGTGACCTCCAGAGCTCCCCTTGGCCACAGGGTCAGGGACATGGAGAACCAGGAGCTCAGCCTCTGAGGAATCCACGGGCCCGCGATGACTAAGGACACTCATGGAGTCAGTCGGCCCAACTTGTGCTGGTGCCCAAGAAGGGAGGCTCTCCGGGGTGTGATAATTCCTCCATGGACTGAGATTTAATACACTGGTGGTTGTTAATGCTTAAATAAAAATTGGTATTTCCTACATCCTAGAAAGAATACAAGTCTAAAATTCCGCCTGCTACTCACAATACTATTCCTATGTAAAAGCTGGAGGGGGG